TGCTGTTTGGAGCATCAAACACTTCATTGAATTAAACGGCCACATTCCCATGATCCCATCCCCTCCACATACTACTCTCTCACTGATCGTCGTCATGATGATGATGCTGCAGACGAGCTTGCTTCTTCCATTCCCGTCATTGACTTCTCTCTCCTCACTTCCCAAGATCCTCAAATCTACGCCCACTTCAAGAACTTGGTCATGCCTGTAAAGAATGGGGCTTCTTCATGGTAATAATTATGTTTTGATGATCATAAGATTTTCATTGCAATAAGATTCCTAAATGTACGTTCTTAAATTGATCATGTCACTTCCAGATTACAAAACATAGGATTTCAGAGGAACTAATGGAGGATGTGATAAAGAAGTCTGGAGTTTCACAAGTTGCCTCTGGAAAAGATGGAATTCTCCAACAAAGAACTGATCACACCCATCAGATTTGGAACCAGCTCCCTTCCTTATGGAGAGAAGGTTCATTACTGGAAGGATTATCTCAAACTCACAACTTTTCCTGAATTTCATTTCCCTCACAAGCCCCCTAATTACAAGTATACCTTCAATTTCAACATTTCTCTTTGTTTTTTCCCTGTTTCTCTTACTCCCTCTGTTTTTATGTATAAATTATCTTCTAAAAAGAATTTGTAGTTTTTTTTGGGTAAAAATGTAAATTTAGTGACTAACTATTTTTTCAAGAAAATTTGGTAACCTATACTATGAGGTGGTGCAAAATAAATTAACAATTATAAAAAATGGAGCATGGAGCACTGACCATTAACTTTTAACAAACAGACGTTTCTTTTCAAAATTATAGGACCCACACTTCACACTCTTCTCTCTCTCTTCCTCGTTTCTTAGTCTACCATCAGTGACTTTCGGCAATGCAGTTTCAAGCAGTGAAACCCAAAAGCCAAGAACCACATTTCCTAAAGGATATGGTTCATAAGGAGACCCAATTTCTGTGCAAGGAAGGGAGTAGGATGCTATAGGTATAAAGGATTAGAATTTGTCAAAGAAGCAGAGGAAATAGAAAAATCTAGAGATCAGTCACAATAAGCTTGCCAAGAGCGTGATAGGTTCCATTGGGCTAGGTGGCAACAAAGGGGAAAATGAGGAGGATGGTGATAAGGACATCCATAGAGAAAAGGAAAAGGGTATAGAGGCCCTGCTTGTTCTAATAAGAGTCAATGAAACTAACGAGGGAAATGAGGAGGATGAGAAAGCCAGTAGAAGTTTTGAATGCACTCATTATCAGGTTTCTCAACAAGCCAAATGATGGCTGCAATGATGGGGATGGAAATGAGGAAGGCAATGAAGTTGAGGATGGCAGTGATGTTGTTGATGACTCCTATTTTATTGGTTTTGGAGTTTGGAAGAGAATTGTGGAGGCGTGGACAGCATCTTTGACTTCTTCCTCGACTGGACTCTCAATCTTTTCCTTCATTGGGAATTCTTATAATCGGATTTTACTTTGTGAGTGCTCTTTTAGCCTTGATTTGGAACTGTTGCTAGGAAAATACGCAAGTTGTTCAAGATTATAGAATGGATAACTAATTGAGAAGGGGGAAGGAGAGAAAGGTAAAGAAGAAAGAGGGATCAAATTAGGAGGAGACATGTGGTTTGGTAGTCAAATAATTTGGTCAAACAAACATCCACCTGTTCAAAACTAAAATGGCCGCCCAGGCTTTGTTTTTAATATTTCATAATTTATTTTGTATCACCTTATAGTATATGTATCCAGTGCTTTTATAAAAATAGTTGGTGATAGCTAAATTTGCATCTCTGCCTTTTTTTAAGTTGCTTCACCTAAAAAGATAGATAATTAATTATTTTTTCAATTTTACCCTTTCACAATTTTCTATGAGTAGGGAGTAAAAAGTAGCATGAAAAACAAAAGGGATAATTTCAATTAAGTACCTCTATAGAGACTTAATTTTAGGTGAGTCTAAATTTTTTTTTTTAAATTTCAGTTCAGTATAGGGGAGAAAAGTCAAAAGAACTTCACCGATGAAAAGACCAAGATATCCTTTATTTGTTATGCAGAATCACTAGTTGTTAACTTTCTTACTACAGTTGTTAATTTACTAATATCACTTGTAAATTGCATTCATTTACTAGACAATCAGTAACATTAATTGTTAATTTTGCTAACTTTACTTTTTAATGTACTAACATCAGTTGTAAAAAATTACAAGACTTATCAGTAAGTTATAATTGATGTTTGTAAATTACAAAACCTATCAGTAAGTTACAACTAATGTTAGTAAATTAACAAGTATAATTTATAATTTGACAACTAATCTTACTGCTTATAATTAAAAAAATTATGTTAAGTATTATATAATTATTGACATATCAACTCATTTAATTTGTAATTCATATTAGTAAATTAACAAGTGGATTAAGAAAATTAACAACTGGTGATTCTGCACAATACGTGGAGGGTATTTTGATCTTTTTACCGATGAAATTCTTTTGACTTTTTTCCCTTGAATTAAATTGAAATTTCAAAAAAAATTTAACCCACTTGAAATTAAGTTTCTATAAAGGTACTTAACTGAAATTCTCTTACAACAAAAAAGTGTTTTTAAAAATTTTGCATTTAATGAAGTTAAATTGAGAAATTTCTTTCTTTTTAGAAAACACCAATAATTTAATGACATCTCCTTAATTTCAGTGAGATGGTTAAAAGTGACTTATAAATTACTAGGAAAAAAATCTTGAGAATTTAAATCTTCTAAATTAAGATCTATGAATTTTAATAAAGTTTGCTTTTTTAAAGATCAAAAAAAAATTATTTTATATGTTATAAAAAAATAGAATCATGAAAATATTACAAATGAAAACTTCATAAAAATTCATATGTACATCTAAATTGTAGAGGACTTAGCTTAAAAATCCAATTTGTTTTAAATTAAATTAAAGTCCTACACAAAACATATTTATATGAATAGATACATGAATCTAACATCATAAAATTTTGGGTTAAATAGCAATGTCAAATCACACTTATATGAATCCTCTTGCTCAACAATATGAAGAGCATAAGAAAATCTCTCAAAGCTTTAACAAGTAATGTCAAAGTTATATTTTGATTGCAAATATGGCATTTTCATTGAATTACTTTTTTTTAAATTTTTTAACGGGAGATTGCATTTGAGTAATTGAGTACAATAAGAGAATCAAAGATGTGCAAGGACTTTGCTAGAAGGAATATCAGAGAGCTTAGGATTACAACCCAACATCATTATTGAGTCCACAGGTTTTGAATCAAGCCATCAAACATGTCAAGTGAACTTATATCCTCCATGTCCTCAGCCAAACCTTACTTTAGGGTTGCTTCCTCATTCTAACAATGGCTTGCTAACCCTCCTTATTGGAAAAGAATCAAAGGCCTTCAAGTGAAACACTATGACAATGGGGTTAATGTGAATCCTCTACCTCATTGCTTACTTGCCAACATTGAAGATCAACTTGAGGTCACTCTTCAAATTTTAATTCAACCATGCATATTCTATTTTTGATGGTTCTAGCTTCTAATTAATTAATGGCCTTATTGATTGCTATGTGTTTTTGAATTGATTGATTAGATTGTGAGTAACAAAAGGTATAAGAGCATGTGGCACAGAGTAGTGGTGAATGAAAGAGACTCAAGGCTAAGTTTTGCACTAAAGAATGGACCAACTCTTGATAAAGAAATAGGGCCTGCAATGGGGCTGTTAGAGAAGGAAAAGCCATTGTTCAAGAGCATCAACTATAAGGAATATTTACAAGTTCAACAAGAGGCTAGAATTGTTGACAATAGAGGCTTGGATATGATTTATCTGCATAATGTTGCAAACTAATCACACCTTTCAACCAAATTTTGTAAAGTAAATTAATTGTTTGATTGATTAATCCAACCTCTTCAACTTTTAAAAGTGGCATTTCTTTTAATGTGATTTCTCATTCAGAATGTTGGTTTTGGTCTTATTTCCAACATGCATGTTTGTTTAAATTAACACACTATTAGGAGGCTAATCCAGGTTATTTTCATAAACCCATTTCTCCATGGTATTAATTAATCTCTCTTGAAAATGGTAATTAAATCCCACACCCTCACCAAAAAAAAACTAGAGAAAGATAGACACAATACACCACATATATTACAATTTACATGAGATTTTCTATTACATGCACATCTTTCTCTAGTTACACAGACTTATATGATTAAAGAATATCAGAGTCTTTATACACATGGTATCGTTTGATTCAATAAATAGGCTTTGATGCTTTAAACCTTTTTTTTTATTAGAGGCAATCCTGTTCGAGGCATTATTGGGCATTAAATATGAACACCTCTTCTAACAAAAATTTAAACATTAATTTATCATATTTGGGTTGTGAAGCTTTGCAAGCATTTATTTCTATGAGCTCATTCCCTTTTTCTAAGACCCAATAAAGAAAGGCCTACATTGCCTAGTTCCCTTGCACATACCCTTTTGACATCTTGCAAATTACAATTAAAACATTCAATCATGCATCTAATCAAGAGTCAAACCTTATTTAAAACCTATCTTTTTTCACTATAAAAAATTAATGCTAAATTCAAAACCTTATTGTTAATGTTACCCATAAATTATACTCTATCAAAAACACTCTCACAGTGATAATAATTGGAATAATAATTAGTCTTTCTTGCCCAACATATATCAAGATGAATAATAGTTAAGTCTCAAAACATTAAATTAATAGTCGTTAGGTTTCAATAAAAAAATTTTAAAAAAAAAATTTGCAAATATTAATTCAAATAATTTACAAATTCAAGAATTTTATGTTGTAAGATTATCATTCTTATTCCCTTTCCATAACTCCAATTCTAATTTACTAACCAAGGTATTAGTTGTATTGTCTCTTTCCTCTTTTCACTTCGCCCCCAATCTTCACTTCCTCATCAACCCTGCAATATTCTAATATATCTATAATCTAATCTATATATGAACTTATTCTTCCCTTGCTTTCATTTCTAGCTAATCACAATAGCTTCAACCTTTATTCACATGGCTTCATCAGTAGTCACTATTTCGTCATCAAAGCCCCAAGAGCTTCAAGCATCTCATATTTCAAGCGTTAAAGCTTTCATTGAATCAAACAACGCCATTTCAATCCCTTCCACCTACTACTCTATCACTGAGCTTCGTAAAGATGTTGTAGAAGACGACCTTGCTGCTTCCATCCCTGTTATTGACTTCGCTCTCCTCACCTCCGACGACCCTCACGTCCACGCTAACACTGTTCAAGATCTCGGCAGTGTCTGCAAAGAATCGGGCTTCTTCATGGTAAATTTTCAACCTTTTCCTTAACCAAGGTTTAGAAAGTGGTTTTAGTACTTGGATACATCACTTTCCAGATCATAAATCATGGGATCGAAGAAGAAGCTGATGAAGGATCTACTGAACATGTCCATGGAGTTTCACAACTTGTCTTTTGAGGAGAAGAAGGAGCTTGCAAATGAAGAACTGATCACACCCATTAGATATGGCACTAGTACTCTTCCTCATGGAGAGAAAGTTCATTATTGGAGAGATTATCTTAAAGTTGAAACACATCCTAATCAATTTCCCTCACAAGCCTCCTGGTTTCTCGTATGTTTCAAGAACTTCATCATCATCCACCTTCTTTTTTTCTCTCTCTTCTTCATTGAACACCTTGGTTTTTGTTCTTTGTAGCAAGCTTGCATTCGAGTACAGTAGGAAAATCAGGGAGGTGTTGAGGATTTTGCTTCAAGGAGTATCCGAGCGTTTAGAAGTTTAAGGTTACAACCCAAAGCCATTATTGAGTACACAGACTATGATTCAAGTTATCAGACTTGTCAAGTCAAACTTGTATCCTCCATGTCCTCAACCAGACCTCGTTTTAGCGTTGCCTCCACATAATGATAATGGCTTGATGGACACTTCTCGTTCAAAATGGACATAAATGGCCTTCAGTCATGCACGATGGCAAATGGGTCAATGTCAACCCTCTCCTAACTGCATACTTGTCAACATTGGAGATCAACTTGAGGTTATTTCAACTTTCAAACATGTTGAATCTAGTATATCCATTTTCTACATTTTACATTGTATCGGTCAATAATATTTACACTTACCTCTATTTCATTTGGTTAAAATTATAGCAACCTCTATTCTATTTTTAAAACCTCCATTTAGTCAAATTCGTAATATTGTTAGGAGTATTGTTAAAGAAACTAAAATTCTTAATTTTTATTTATAATTATATTTAAAAATTAAAATCATTAATTTCCCTTGGTCTATACTCTCCAAATTTAAGGAACTTTAAATAATTAAGTACAACAATATTTAAATAAATGATTTATAAATAGTGAATTAAAATTATAAAATAAAATAAATTATATTGATATGTGTTTTAAAATATTATTTTAGCCAACTTATTTAAAAAAAAACTAAATAAACTAGTTTTCCTAACAAAAAAAATTAAAATATGAATTAAAAAGGGTAAAAAAATATCCATTAATTTTTTGGGGTAACTTAAGAATGAATTTTAGATAACATATGTTTAAAGAGAGGTATTTTTGGTCAAACATATGTTACTTAATAATCAACTAACACTTGAATAGATGAAAGCAAAAGTTTTAAAAATAGGAGGAAGGTATGCGTTTTGTAATACTAATTCTAGGAGAGGTTGTATAAGTTTTAAAAATAGAAAAGAGGCTATAATTAAGGTTAAATAGAAGGGGGGTTAAAGTATTTACTCATAATTAGTTAACTTAACCACCTCTCATCTTCTAACCCTAGCTTGGCTTTCTTTGTTGTGTTTTTGGTGGAATATATTATTAGAGGATGACAAATGGAAGGTACAAGAGTATTAGGCACCGAGCAGTGGCGAATGAAAGGACCCACAAGGGTTACTTTTGCACTAGGTAATGGTCCTTCACTAGAGAATGAAACTGGTCCTGCACCTGAGTTACTTGAGAAGGAACAACCAATTTATAAGACAATCAAGTACAAGGACTATTTGAAGTTCAACATGAGGCCAGAATTGCCAATAAGAGAGGATTGGATATCATTCGTATTAATAATTAATTATAAACTGATGATGTAATATTCTATGGATCTTAACTACGACTTGAGTTTTGCCTGTCTAGGTATAGCTTATATGCTTATAGATTTGTGTGATGGGGAGATGATGGAATGATATTAAGTTGTGTTTGTTTTAAAGACCGTTCATTTGTTATGTGTATAATTTCATAGGGCAAGTTTTAACTTATAAGAGTGTCAAAGAAGAAAAAAATGTGATTATATATAAGAAGATATAGTAAAAGTAATAATATGCTCAACAACAACAAACAACAAAAGAAAAAGAAAGAGGCCAATGTATGTAAACGTCAAAAACTCAAAATCAACTTGCGCGTGCGTAGGTCCCTTATCAATTCACCATTAGGGGCGGCTTGGTTGTTATTGGATAAGAGCATCAAACAAACGAACAAGTTAAAGAAATGAGAGAAAGAGAGTGGGCATATAGCAATCACCTGTCTATTATGTCATAGTTACTTACACTTCTTTTCGTTTGTTAAAAAAATTCATATAATTGTTTTAAAAAAATTATAGTATATTATTATCACAAACTCTTCTTGGACATTTGAAATTTCATTTCTATCTATCTATTGACCGTTAATTTTAACTTTTTAACTTTTAAATCACTAAAATGACCCTCTTTAACATAGAATTATCTCAAAATCTATATTATCCAAAAAAATTTATTATGTTATAAAAATTTTTATTTTTTATTATATTATGAAATTTTAGACATTATTTTATCAAATTTACTGAATTTTGTTTATCTATTTTTTGACATAGCTGAAAAACATAGTCATATATTTTTACTCATCACATAACATCAAATGATACAAGTTTAAGAGATCATATAAATAATTTAAATTTAAATTTTTAAATTATAATTTATTAGGTTGCGAGGTAAATTAGTAAATAAAATTTGTTTCAATATAAATTTTAATTTAACAACAAATTGGACTAAATTTATGTTTTTTAAAATGAGGAAATGTTTTATGTAATTAAGGAAAATGAAAGGGTTGGTTAAAATATTTTACTTTAAAGATAAAAATAGAATGATCAAGATGAGTTTGAAAAGAAATAAGTCATCCATGTTTATAAAGAAAAATAATTTAGTTTATAAGATGAGGTTCTGATTCAACAAGGTATTTAAAGGTGTGGAGTCGAAAGGCAGGCCGACAAGCCCAATTCCTCCAAAATTGATCATTTTCTAATGCCGGCCATTATTTACGAAACTCAGTATCACCTGCAAACTCGTTTATTTTTTTTATTTTTTAAATTTTTAAAAGTTAAAATTTTCAATTATAATATATCACTTTTTAAAAAGAATGCAAATTATAATGTTCAAAAGTTAAAAAATAAATAATAAAAATTATCATTTTAAAGTATAAACATATCCTAAGTTTAAATCCAATTTTAAAAATTAAAAATATTTTAGACCAACAAAATTTAAAATATTTTATTTTTTAAGGATAAAATAAAAATAAGCTTAAACCGTCTAAGCACAAATCCATTTTTTAAAGGTATAGCAGGGTTGAGCTTCAAAATTTAATTTTTTATAATTTATCATTTTTTTCAAATTCAAACTTTTATATAAGATAAGCCTGAACAGGCAGTCCATGGGTCCAACTCTTATTCCATTTTTAAGTGTGACAATTTTTTACATTTATAATTTTATTTTATATACTTACATGAGAGGGAGGATAATCTAGTGCATTTTTGTGATTATTATTTTTCACTTTTCATTTTCAGCATCCAAAAACGGTACGACTCATGCGTGTCTCAATCATTGAGAGTCTATCGTCCACAAAAACTCTTAGACTCAGGACACCGCCACGGTTACAGAATCAGGACAAAGAATTGTCAGGTTCATGATTCTGCAGATAATGCACAAACGCCCACAACATGTCATTGTAGAGACTTCTGGTGACCACCCATGCATTTCACATTATCAGTATCGAGGTTACAAACTCCGACATTGCTCATTGATTGGCCAGTTTCTCTACTTTTGTTACTCGCCACTCAACGCAAAACGAAACACGACGTCTGATCCTAATTATCATAAATAGGTAAACAGTAAAATATATATTATATATTGTGTGTTATTTCAAAACCTTAAGATTCACCATTGTGAGGTTTAATTTGAGCTCAAGTATATTTTTTTCCTTGATGTATTTCTCGAGAAGCACCTATATCTTAAAGTTTTTGTTGAAGTAATTTTCTCCCCTAAAATTATTAAAACAAAACATTTTTACTCTTTCTATTAAAATATATTTTATTGATATTAAAATAAAATAATATGTATAATTATCACTTTAAAGGATTTGTAAAAATAACATATCATATAATGCACAGGTGATTAACTAGTTTACACTACTAAAAAAATATAAATTAGTGAGAAAATTTAGTGAAGGATCATCTATTCCTCTTTAAAATACCAAATTAATAAGGAAATAGCGAGAGATGTAATTTCATAACTTACTTAAAATTAGTGAGGAAAATAGCAAGACTGTGAATCCCTTTCTAAATAAGAGCATTAGTAAAGGCCCACCAATCCCTCTAAAAAATAGACAATTAGCCAGAAAAAATAATAAGGGACTATCCATTAGTGAAAAAAATAGCAAGAGACTGTCAATCCCTCTCTAAAATAAAAAATTAGTGAAGGATTCTATCGCTAACTATTACTGTAAAAAAAATTTAACTTTTGATAATAAATTTTAATTATATATTTAATTATTTTCATTTAAAATAAAAATTAAATATAAAAATTAAATAAAATATTCATAATAAAATATTTAATATTTTATTTATTTTAAGTTGATTTTCATTAAGAAAATAATATTTTATTAAAAATATATATAAAGAATTTTTAAATAAAATATAAAATATTTTTAACCTATTAATAATGAAAACATAAAATTTAATACATATCTATATGTGTGTTTTTTTATAATATTTTATTTCATATATTTATATTAGTTAAATAATATATATTTAATTTTTCATATAATAACTGTAAGTGCCTTTCAGTTTAACTGACAAAAAAGAAGATTACAAGGCTTGAAAAGTATGAAGTAAAGGTTTAAGTCTTAGCTTTGGCATAAATATAATAAATATTTGAT